GGTAGAGGAGGAGGAGGAGGAGTAGGAGTAGGAGGTAAAGAAGGAAGGGGATTAGGAGGAGAAAGAGGAGGAGGGGAAGCAGGAGGAGAAGGAGGCGAAGGAGGAGGAGGTAGAGAAAGAACGGGATTAGGAGGAGAAGGAGGAGGATAAAGAGAAGAAGAAGTGGAATAGACGAGGTCCACAGGGAAGACAGGTAAACGGGTGAGTGTGATGGCTTTTAGCAGTCGTCCCCTGTCAGTGTGAATTCCTTCCGACGGAATGATGTAAACAGACTTTGTTTCGTCTGCCTGATTGGGCTCCGGTCAGGAATTGAGAATAACCTAATCGACAAGCCTGGCAACGCAGACTTTGTGTAGCCACGGGCTAGGCCCGACGACCAGACATGCAGAATCCGACGGTCTCTGTCTTGAGGGAGGCGGTGTCAAGCCGTCTGTGAGGGCAGAGGTATTGTGTCTGACTGGGATGTGAACATACGGACTCAAGTGAGCCCTCATTGACTCGGCAGAATGAACCCACACGTCTCGCCTCGAGAGGGTGGCTGTGAATGGCAAACCGGCTCAGCTCAAGTCTGTGGGGCGGACCGAGGAGGACGGCCGTGGCGACAGAGGGAATCCACGCCTACTGTTACTGCTGCTGCTGCTGCTGCTGCTGCTGTTAATGATGAGTGGGATTATGATGATTCTGATAAGGAGGAGAATGAAAAGGAGAAAAAGAAGACGACGAAGACAAAGACAAAGAAGAAGAAGAAGAAAGAGAAAAAAAGGAAATCAAGAAAAACAGGAATAAGCATAAGAAGAAGAAGAAGAAGAAGAAGAAGAAGAAGAATCGAGGGGGCAATATGACAAGATGGCGGAGAAGGTGGACTGGAGCGATTGGCGGCACGTGGCCCCTGCAAGGCGAGCCTGTGAGTCGTTGAGAGAATTGAGAGAAGAAGACACACCAAAAGAGGCAGCAGAGCTGGAGACTGAGGAGTTGGAGACGACTACTCGTTCGGCTGTGGAGATGTGGAGATGTGGAGATGTGGGCAAGTGGAAATGTGGGCAGAACTGGGTTGAAGCGGAGAGGGCTGGAATGATTGGCCACTGGGGAGGAGCTGTCAGTCGGATTAATCCGCTGCTCTGCCTACCTCGAGCCGAGGGGACTCGGCCACAACCATTTCGTCTGTCCCCTCGACTCATGCACACCCACACAACAAGACACTCGCCAGACGGCAGCCTCTCTCTGGCAGTCTCATGTTGATACTGCTTACTTTAGTCCTCACTTTTGCCGCTTCTGCCCCGCATGCCTCATCTCTTTCTCCTCCTCCCTTCATCCCATTCACTCACTCACTCTCTCACCCTCTCGGTATACCTGCCCACCAGTCTATTCACCTCTTTGTCCTTTCTCATCCTCTCCTACTACAGCCTCGGGAGTACATGTAGTTGTCTATCTATCTACCCACTCGGCAAGCCACACATTCCTCCACTCATCTACCCCTCATCCATCTATTCACCATTCATCCATCTCCATTTCTACAACATTGGTACCTTTTCGCTTATAACCTATAGTCACCCTTGGTTGCCCAAGGTCGCTCAAGGGGAAACTGCGGTCCAACCCCTCCTACATGAGAATACCTTTCGGAAAGTAATGCTGTGTGTGAAATTGTATGAAAACCTACTCATAGTTGATAGTTGAAATTTCCCACAATCCGATGTAGTAGGTCTCGCCTGAGTCGCATTCACGAACATAACGAAAGGTCTAACCCGACAGGTCACAACCATACCACACAGGCCAGGTGTGACTAGCAGGACAATGAATTGTGTTTTAAACACCACCTTTATGAGATGTATCCAGCCTATTTCGTTTCTGGCGATAGCATAGGCTGAATATACATCTCATTTAACTGACCTATTGGTAGTCTCGAAAACCTAGTTACAAACGAAAAACGCATTACTTATATTCATAATGAGTAGGACAAGGTGTGAAAAGTGGATAATTGAAATTTCCCACAATCGAAATGGACGACCTCACCTGACAGTGCCTCCAAATAGGTATTTTACTCTCGACTCGAACTGGTCCCATCAACAGCACAACAGCAATCGAGACCGGTTCGTGCAGCTCAAAATTGTACACGTTTTCACTTCATAGTGGACCTGTGGCAGTTGAACTTTCATACAACCAGTTGAGTAGACTCTACGTTTCCATTGAATTTGGCACAGCCCCACTTCCCAAAAGATTGAAATGAGCTGCACTTTTGGTCTCGCCTGAGCTAATCTCATCAGCACCCCCAGCGGGACTCGAACTGTGAAAGTGCAACTCATACTCTCGGCCACATACTGTCACGAGGGCCAGGCATTTTTCTATATCACATTCTGTGGTGAAGTTGTCGATGAGGCAAAGTTGCATTTGTTTTAATAATCGACTGGATAATTTATTTTTTTCTTTTATATGCAAGCTTTGAGACTCTACCAGAAGAGCATAGAATTGCAGTCCACGCCTGCTTGGACGAGAACAGCTTTTGAGACAGTAACGCCATGTGAAATTAAATGAAATTATATCACCTTAAACGTATGCATTCACCCTTGTATGAATACTTCTATATTATCTATTGGTAGTCTCGGATGCCTGCTTATAAAACGAAACACTTTCCTTTCGCCATTCAAGTCGACTACATTCCGTATGGGTCTTTGAGGCTGCTGAGAGACCTTCAAGAATAGCTGTCTTACACAAAACAGAGCTGGTCGTCTCATCTGCCTGATGAAAGGTTATGAGTCCTGAAGGTACCAGATCAATCGATTTGTCTCCCCACTAGGTTCTGGGAGTAGATGTCAGCTTAAAGCCGAAAATAGTGTTCCAGTCACCCTGGGCGATGAATCGGCGAAAACCAACTAATCTATCTCACCAGACGAGGACGGATAAATCTCTTCTTCGTTCACTTTGATACAAAGTGAAGTCGCCCTAATAATCTACGTCAAGTTGAGGGTATGAATTCAAGTTCAACCAATGGCAAACGGTATCGCCATCTCTAGACTTGCCTTGAGGAGCTCGATGAAAAATGGGTGATAAGAGTTCTGGTCAATCCAGGTCATATCGGATGAAAAAGGACTGAAAGTTGAATTTGCCCACGATCACAAGAATATGCCTCGATTTCAATTGTATTTCACACAAAGTACTACTTCTCAAAAGGAATTCTTATTCAAGATGGACTCGAGTGCAGTTTCTACCTCGACACACTTGGCAGGAATCGAACTCGGGTCGGAGTATAATCTCGAGATGTTACCAACACGCTGCTGAGCGTGCGGATGCAACTGAAAAGGGGCAAGTTCAGGACTGCATTCTAGTCAAACGAGGATGAAAATACATTTTTTTGGAAACAGGATCCTGTGAAACGTGGGGTCCACTGATTAGATTGTGAAAAAATTCGACTATCAGTCCTGACGCGGCATAGGCTGGCTATCATGGCACAATCACTTTTCTGTACTTTTAGCTCACTCTCTCTCTCTCACACATGAAGACAAAAAGGTTCATCAATATAACTGAGGAGTAATGGTCAAAAATATATCCATAGAAGGGATGATCGTGGTCACCAAACCTTGATATTTGCTGTCCTAACTACTTTGAGCCGTCACATATGCGGACACATACAGACACACGCACTCACATGCCCCGAGATCGACATGACTTTATACCTCATATGTGGGTTTTCGTGACTCGTTAGTCTCAATTTGGTGGTAAGGATGATACCTTGCTCGGATGATGGACGAAAGCTTAGCACCTTTTTCACCGGAATCGAAGACGATTGCCTCGGAAACAGCGTCAACAAGAATGCTCTAATAAGGCCCCCTCGTTCACATGAATTAGTGAAGATCTCTGAAGCCTTGTGAAGAGAGTATAAGCGCCGTTGGTATGAAGAAAAAACAAAAAAATTCACTGTCCATGTCCAGCCAAGTACAGGCCTCATCGCTCCAATTGCCACAGAAGCTGGCCAGTAGAGGATGTGGGGCCTTGAGAGGCTGGACGCACCGTAAAAGGTGATCATCGCTGTTGCCAATCGGAGCTGGGGCACCAGTTTCGCTTATTCAGGCTTGCAAGGATGGAGCCATATTTGGGTGATAAAAGAGTCCATTCTTTGTCAGATAGCCTCAGGATGCGAATAGCTACGAGATCAGAAAAGAGCACAAAATTGAGCATAGAATATTTTTCGAATTTAGTATTGTTTTCGTGACTACCAGTAAATCAGTAGTATGAGATCTATTCACCCAATTTCGTTTAAGGTGACGAAGGACTGGTAGAAGCAGAATTTTCCCAACTCATATGATTGTGGGAAAATTCTTCTTCTACCAGTCCTTCATTACCTTCAATGAAATTGGGTGAATACATCTCATATTGAGAATAGACGCTATGAAGACCAAGATGGTATGTCCGTTGGTATGGTCGCAGTCTCCGTTCGACTCATAGAAGTGGGTTGAACTGGTTTGGCAACTTGGTCTTGTTGTCAGGGCGACTTAGTTGGACACACCTTTTCCGAAGTCCTCTGTCATAGTAGTTGCCATAATTCCTAGCACCAGACTGTCAATTTGGTTCATTGTAAGACGTTTCGTTTACATTCTGACAAATGTTCAACGAAGATATTGTTCAATTGCTCTGACGAGAAGATGCCAGCTGAGGGTACTGTGATGTTTGGGCTAAAGCAGTGCAATTTCGGGAGGGGAAAGGGGTATGAGTTATCATGTTTCCGAGTTGTATCTTAGTTTAACAAGAGTTTTGAAGTAACACTTATCCAAGAAGATCATCACAACTAAC